AAAGCATTCAGGAGGAAATGATTTGGACTGGGCCGGAGTGGACAAGGAGTTAGATTAGGGCAGGAACGGGAGGCAGAGAAGACAGTGGGGGCAAAGGATTGCATCAAGGGTCCTGGCATTCAAGGTCTAGTGCACCGCCTGTGTGGTTGGAGGAGAGGCAGCGTTTTGGAAGTAGTTAGATCCGAGCTGAAGCTGAAAAAGTAGGCCGGGATTTGGACTGAGTAAAAGGTGTAGGTTGACACTGCTTGGAAGCCACGGGGAGCCAGAGAGAGTTTATAAGCCTCCCCACAGCATTCTGGCGTTGATGAACTTGCACATAGCATTGTTAGGGGGTAGGAGAAGTGAATGCCTATATATAATCATATGCATAATCACTTTCCATTTCTAATGGACTCAGAGTGAGCACTGCATTGACAGAGAGGACAGCGTGGACCAGCCAGTGGGCGAGCTCAAGGAAAGCAGAAGCAAGTGTCCCACGCCTCAGTGGAGGCCCAGGGGCCTTCTACTGGTCTAGGTAGGAAGGGCACTGACACCTGTAGCCCCAGAAGACAGGCTTTGGAACTAGAGCCCCAGAAAGCACATCAAAGGGCCATGTGAGGAGGACCAATGGGGGGAGACTGCGCGCTCTCAGCCTCAACTGCGGAGTGGTGCCATAGGAAGCAGTGAGCTCCCCGTCCCGGAGACGCTTTTTAGGTGGTTTCAAGCATCAGATAAGATCAACCTCCTTTGGGTCCTGTGATTTGAGGTTCATTAAAATTTTGTTAAAAGGGGCCGGCAGGTGGTGTGGTGGTTAAGGTGCTGGGCTCCCACACGGCCAACCACGATTCACATCCCGGACCCAGAAACTTGAACGTCATACCGGACACGTGTGCTTGCGTGCCCGAGATCCTGAGAGGAGAGTGGAAGAGAAGGGATTGTGGTGTGGCCATCTGCTCTGAGGGGCGATTGCTCACTTTCCCTCTTTCTGTTTCTCTCTGGTAAACACATGTGCCTTATGGTAAACACCTGAAATTTAAAAAGAAAAAACATTCTGTAAGAGGCCAGGGGGAAGAAAGGGCTTTCTGGTTAGTCGTTGCTGGGAAAGTTCCTCCCAGACGGAGGAACTTTCACAAAATGTGATTTCGGCCTCACAGTGTGAATTTGAGGAGTGGCCTGGAAGGCTGTAAACAGAGCAGGGGCGATGACTCATTTAAACTTTGCATATCTTTTCTCTGAAGTGCCCCAGTTGTGCCGCACACCGTTTTGACTCAGGCCTGGGCACATTTCTGGGGAACCAAATGACTGGAGAACATGTCTCATTCACACCTGTGCTGCTTTCTGATGAGTAAAAGCTCCTTGGCATCACTTATCCTCTCGGTGACCCTGGGAAGCACCTCTGGCACCATTGGCAGAGCCAGGCCATGGTACCTGTCCCACTTCATTTGGTTCCACAGACATTTATGTCACATCTGTTCAGAGCTGGGCACTGAGCCAGGAGCTGCTGCCAGAAAGACAGTCCTGTCCTTACGGAGGGTCTTGCACAGTTTCGTGTACGATGCAGACTGAGAGGTGCAGTGGCGGAGCTATACACCCTCAGGTGTTTCAGAAGCAGAGGAGGGGAGATCAGGGAGGGCTTCCTGGAAGAGGACAGTCCTTTAGAATCCTTAGTAGTTCTCCCCCTCCCCCCTCCCCCCCCCGTTAATACCAACAGGAGCACTCTGTAGATTATGGAGTCATTTTGTAAGCATCCCTCATAGTCACCCCATTCAGCAGACATTTTTGTTGTTTAATCTATCTTCATTTGGTTTAATAGAGAGAAAATGCTAAAACCTTTTCGTAGTTTGCTTGTTACATTTTTTATTAAACATTTTATTTCGCGATAATTGCATAGTCACATGCAGCTGTCAGTAGTACAGAGGGACCCTCTGCTCCCTTTCCCCACTTCTCCACAATGATAACACCTTGCAGCATTATAATACAGTGTCGCGGCGTAGACATTGTCACACTCAAGACCCAGAACAGTCCCGCCTGGTGGACTGAAGGACCCTCCTGGTGTCCAATTCAGTAGACGTTTTTAAAGTCGTTTTTTGTTTGTTTGTTTGTTTGCACAAACCTGGCTCTAGGGACTCAGAAAATGGAAAGAAAAAGGCCTGCCCTCAAGGACTTGACATTCTTATCACCCCCTTTGTGGCTCTCATGACCTTGTGATGTGCACCCTTGGTCACAGATCCCCTTGTTACCAACGTGAAAGGGATCTAAGAGTGTTGTGGGGGGCGACTAGCCTGGTTCCTCACAGTGTGAACTCGGCCATGTCAGGCTTGGAATCCACCCTCCTCGCTCCATGGTGCCTACCCTGATGACGGTCAGGCCTCTGGATTCAGGAGCCTGGGGGACATTTTTGCTAGCCCAGAGTGAAGCGTATGCCTGGCTTGGGGCCACATCAAGGAGAATGCCATTTCACAGAACAAGGACCCCGTGTTTGTGGGCACAGAAATGATGAGGCCTCAGAGCCCAGAAGCCCCACAGCCCTGGTCCATCTCCCTCATGACAGGTGGAGTCACTGAGGCAGGGTAAGGGGAGGGATCTGTCCCCAGTCGTGTGGGAGCCAAGTCCCCAGGCTCACTGCAACCAACCTAATCCCTCATCATGAAGGTAGAATTACTTCTCAACATTCCGCTTCGCCAGGGAAGGTTTTGGGGTACTCAGGTTTAAAACATGTGGATCAGTCCTCCTCGTTACCTGCAGATTCAAGGTCAGGGACAGTAGGGTCTGTTGCCAGGGTGCTTCCTGGAGGAGGACAGCCCACCGTAAGTGTCTGAGCTTTACCCCCAGAGATGGCAGTGAAGTCTTCAATTCTAACTCTGCTTCTGGGATAGAGAAGACCTCCAGGGAAGAGGCTGGCACTGGGCTTGTCATTGGAACATCTGGGCTCCCAGTCTGGGCTCTATTTCTGGTCTCCAGGATTCCTAAGGACACAATGGCCCTGCAAAACAAAACAGAACAAAACAAAAAACTTGCAATCTGGAAAGATGAGAGGTCTTACGCTTCTTGTGTTTGGAACTTCTGGAGTCCCTGAAGAGGTGGATGTAGCAGACTCCAAAGAGCAGGAAAGGGACATGACGAGGGGAGATGGAAGACTCGGGCTGGCCTCGGATTCTTGGATGCATTCATTATCTCACAGGTGCCATTGGGCAGGGGATGGGGCCCACGAGCAGTGCCACAGTCCAGTACGTGCCCTTGGGTGGTGGGGCTCTAATTATGGAGAATTTCAAAAGCAGACAGGATAACCTAATCAAGCTCTCATGGCTACTCCCCATCAGATTCAGCAATAAACACTCATGGTGGTCTGGTTCCGTTGGCGCCTCTATTCCCCAACACTCCACTTCACTTTAGTTATTTTCATGAATCATTTTCTCTTTCATGAGCATGAGAGACAGAGGGACAGCCACCCTCAGCAGGGTCTCCTGCTGTGATCCTTCCGCAGCCTTCCCAGCCAGCCAGGATCACGCTTGTGTCGGTGCGTGGCATGCACAGATTCACCGGGGAGCTGGACTCTCCATCTCCCAAGTGACTATAGCATAGCCGAGCAGCACGTTACCGCTGCACCACCACCAGCTGGCCCTCCGCTTTATTTTTAATGGCTTTATTGAAGTAGAATTACATTTGTATTGCCAGAGGCATGTGCACTTGTCAGAGAGAGAAGGTCCCCACCTGCCCCGATGGGGCATGGTCATGTTGCAATCCTTTCTTCTCCATTCTCCATCCTGTCAGGATTTGGGGGGCATGCATAGACACATGCCCAGTGTGTGTTTTAAGCCACTAGAGCCTGGATTTGAACTAGGTTGTTAGCATTTAACCACTGTGCTTTGAGGTGAGCCCTGAAGTATAATTTTATACCATACAATCCACTCATTCTAAGTATGCAAGCCAAGATTTTTAGTAAATTTTAGTAAATGTAAGAAGTTGTACAACTATTTTGGTTTTGGAACTAAAGATCTCTCAGGCCAGTTTATAATGAATCCCTGCTCCTCGCTCCCCTCCCACCCCCAGCTCCAGCCAACCACTGCTCTGCTTCTCGAAGAGTCACCATTACACATACACGGAACAGCTTTTTCATCTGGTCTCTTTCACTTAGCCTAATGCTCTTGAGGCTCACGCATGTCGTAACATGTATTAATTACTGTAAGGTGTAACATGCAGCAGCATGGCACTCCTTTTCGTTATCACATAGTACTCCATTGTATAGAAATACCACATTTTGTTGATGCACACTCCTGACACCATATCACTTCATCTGTAAGTATTTTTAGAATGAATATGAAGCCTTCTTAAAAACGTGGCCACAAAACCATGATCACACCTAAGAAGTTAGCAAATCCCTTGTTATCACCAAAGACTCAGTGTTTGCATTTCTAATCATCTCATTACATGCCATGATGCTATTTTTTTAGTTATGTTTTTTAGTCCGTTTGGATCAAGGTCCACATTGCTATCAGTAGACACGTCTCTGCATCTCTTTAAGCTGATATGTTTCCCCTCCACCTCTCCTTTCTTGTCTTGCTGTTCACTGATGAAGAGAGAAGTCATCCTTTGGCCAGGGATAGAGGCAGAGAGTATCAGCAGTCGGAGGGGACTTAGTGACCACCAAGTCAAAGTGCTCAGACAGCTGGGGAAGCAGAGGCCTGTGAAGGGGGCCTGGGACCAGGTCTCTGGCTGCCTCGGTCATCTAGACCCCTTTGCTTTCTGTCTCAGTTCACCAGGCCAGGCCCTGGAGACGTGCCTCCCCCACTGCAGCTCCAGCCCTCCTCTGGGTAGATGCGGAGGTGGGCAGATGTCTGGTCCTTCAGGCTGGGAGTAGTTGGCCTGGCTCTGGCCTTCCAGCAGGTGATGGGGAAGTCTCCCGGCCCGAGGCGGCCACCTGCTGTAGCCAACCCTGCAGCCTCGTCCCCATGCACTGCCCGCCTTCGTGGTGCCCTCCTTCTCACGTGTCTGTGTTTCTTCTCTCCTCCATGCTATGGCAGTGGTGCCCCGTGCTGATGAGACAATACTTGGTGCAGCCCCAGGCAGTCCTTTTCCAGGTAATTTCCTAGGGACCCAAATGATGCCCAGCGCACAATTTCCTGGGGCACTTGCTCCTTAAGTCATTTGCTAGGATTCCTTAACCTCTCGGGTTGCTAAGTTTCCAAAGTGCTGATCTCATTCTTACCCCTTAGAGTTTCTTGATCTCCAGGGCAGGCAGGAATTAGAGTACCGTTTTTACTAGTGAGTAAAATGAGGCTCAGAGACCTGGCCTGGTTTGCCCAAGGCCTTACAGGTGAGAAAGAGGCAGAATGAGGACAAGAACCCCACCTTATCACTCCTAATTCAAAGTTCTCTCTACCTGGGGGCCAAGGGCTATAAATGATGTAGATGCAAATGAATGAAGTACATCCCCCTCTCCGTAGCTCTGTTTTCTGCACTGGGACAGATGGCCCTGAGCATCTTCCTAGCTCAATGCATTAGAGACATCTGGAGAACAGTGTTTGTGCAGAGGGTGCCCATACCTGGGGCTGGTGGTTTGACCTTGAGACCTTGTAGGTGTCTGTGGCAGCAGGCGGAGGAAATGTCATCCCAGTTGGCTGCATTGGAGTGGGCGGTCTGTGATTGCTGACCTCGGTTTGTTTCTCTTCCTGGGTCACGGTCAATGAAGCACGGGGAACTCCTGATGAGGAGAGAGCCAAGATCTGCAATGATGCCTTAAGAAAGAACCCCAAGAGCTCAGAGTAGGAAGCGTGGGGTATGGCTGTTACCCGTGACTGTCAGTGGGGGGCAGGTACGGTGGGACAATGTACCCAGGTGTGCAGGTGCACTGACACGCTTCCTTACCTCTGCACCCTACGGCTTCCCAAGGAACTGAGAAATGGAAGTAGACTGCCACTGTCACAGGAGAAGAGGCACCAGGAAGGCCCAGGAAGGCCTCCTCTGTTCTTTCTTGATCTTCCTTCCATCTTTCCTGTCTTCTTTTCTGTCATTCTCTCTCACACAGCCTCCACTTTCATGAAGGACTTCAGGTGGCCTGCTGGAGATGCAATTACGTGTACCTAATCAGTTAACTTTGAAAGAAAAGTCCAGAAACTATGCAGGAAAGAGGGGAGGGTCACTGGTGCCGGGAGTCAGCACTCCTGTGGTTGTGGTTGAGCTCTGCACATGACTGTTTCCTGGCAGTCAGGACAGAAAGGGTGTGCAGTGGTTTTTGGGGGTCCCTGTTGTTGAGCCAGATGCAGGTTAAAGATTCAGCCAAGGTTGGGGCGGGGTGGGGGAGACTTTCTCCTGGTACTGAATTGTAGGAGGGATTGACAAGGAATTTGAATATTCTAATGAGCTGTATCTCCAGAGGTTAAACAAAAAGTTGTGTAAATGGCTGTTTGTTTGTTTGTTTGTTTGTTTGTTTTTCCTCTAATAAATGTAGAATACCTGATTTTCCATCACAGATTGGTAAAGGCCCTTCCAAGGGGCTTCTGGTCACCTGTCTTGGTGAGGGGAAAGGTGGTAGGAGGGTAGCCAGCCTGGCGATGTTCCAGGGAGCCCAGACGACTGAGGAGAATGCGGGTGCTTTTAAAAATCACAGGCAGCTCAAAGGGCCAGAATGATGAGACTTAGGACAATTGAACACCAGTGCTAACTGTTGTGTCCAACAGCTCCTGCAGGAGATGAGTAGAAGCTGTGGGTTCCCACCAGAGGAGAGAGGTGGGCTTGGGTAAGCCCTGTGAGGTGATGGCGGGAGGTACAGATATCAAAGGACAGCCTGCCATCCCCCGAGCCCTGGCTCTTTGCAGGGATTCCCTTTACCTCTGGGGGCCAGTGGTGGCTAGGTGACAGGTTTGTAGGCTTCCCACCACGCGTATAATACGCGCTGAAGGTTTCATGTCTTACAAAGATGATCCAAACCCTACTGTCAAAGCGACTGGATGTACTTTATCTGATAGTAAATTTATGGACTAGAATAAAAGCAAATAGCAAAAAGGCCCTCCTGTCTGGGAATTAAGTAAGTTAAGAGGCAAGATATCCCCACTGGCCACCTTCCTGCAATTCTCCTAAAGCCAGGTTCATTCCACCTTCTCTTGCAGACTCAGCTGCCTGGGCTGTCAGAGAGGAGAGGCTGGCATGTAGGAATGGGGCAGGCCAGGGAGTGGAGTGGGGTGGGGAGG